GTAGAGACAGGGTTTTACCACGTTGGCCAGGCTGGTCTCAAACTCCTGACCTCAGGTGATCCGCCTGCCTCAGTCTCCCAAAGTGCTGAGACTACAGGCGTGAACCACCATGCCCCAGCCTACCAATCTAAAATCTTAATGAGAAAACTCAGAAAAACCCCTCTAGTCTGTTCTGCACATTGTTGCAAACACATATCTTGGAACTGATGAAATAAAGGCTGAGGAATGAAATTTGGGCAGGCCTACTTTGGAAGCTGCCCATAGTGATTTCAATACTGAATTAAAATATTCAATAACTGAATTACATACAGAACTACATTGTGAGGTAGGTTCACATATAGCGTAGTTCAGGCCCAGAGACCAACAGCTGAAATGATAACATGTTGAAAACATACCTCTTCTAGGCTGAGCTGCAAATACTCAAAGATCCTATATGGATTTCTTCTGCATATTAGTCTCTTTCTTTGCACCAACTAAAGAGAAAGAAATACAATATATACAGAAAAAATGGAAACACTACATGTCATCGAGAAGAGGCTGTATTTTAAAATGAACATTTTTCTTATGAATTCCCAGGATTCACATTCTACTGTGTTAGTATTATGAAGAAATGATTAAAACAAAATTTTATCAAGATAGGTTCTTGCTCTATTGCCCAGACTGGAGTGCAGTGGTGTGATCACAGCTCACTGCTGCCTCAAATTTCTAGACTCAAGTAATTCTCCTGCCTCAGCCTCCCCAGGAGCTAGAAGTACAGGCATGTGCCACCATGCCTGGCTAATTTTTTTGTAGAGACAGAGTTGCCCAGGCTGGTCATGAACTCATGGCCTCAAGCAACTCTCCCACTTCATCCCCCAAAGTGTTGATTACAGGTGTGAGATACTACATTTGGCCAAGAAATGATTTTTTTATTACCTGTGTGGAAAAGAAAGTTTTAATTTTTCCACTACTAACATTCTGGTTTATTTCCTTTTTCTCCCGTGAATTTTTTCTACAGTTGTAATTATTTTGAGATAAATTTTGTTTTACGTGTTGCTTTTTTCATCCAATTATACCTAATAAGCATGTGCCTACGTCTTTCTTTTTTTGAGACAGGGTATCACTCTGAGCCTGATATCCCAGGCTCAAGTAGTCCTTCTGCCTCAGCCTCTTGAGTAGCTGGGACTATTGGCATGTACCACCACACCCAGAATTTTTTTTTAATTTTTAGTAGAAATGAAGTCTTGCTATACTGCCCTGGCTGGTCTCGAACTCCTGGCCTCAAGTGATCCTCCTGCCTTGTCCTCCCAGAGTGCTGGGATTACAGGTGTGACACTGTGCCTGGCTCCTACGTTCTTAATATGACTTCATAAATCTCGTTCTAAGTCTACATGGCATTTCTTTGAATGGGTATCTCATATCCCATTTAGCCATTAGACTGTTTCTAATTTTGAGCGATTCCTGACAACTCTAGGGTAACTCTCTCTGACAGCAAGTCCCTTAATGACATAGCTCTTACCCAGCATCCCTACGCTTTTCTCATGATGGCTGACTTCTACATGTGAGACCTTCTTGCTCAGCTATACTCAAAATGATGTGTAACTATCACCGCATTTTGTTTTCTCCCAAATAAAGGAGAGAATATTATTGGCCTTGCCTTAATTTTATAAAATTTTAAAAAGTTATTCACCAACTTTGGGGTTTTAGTTGAAAAGGCCCTCATAGGCCAGGCATGGTGGCTCATGCCTGTAATCCCAGCACTTTGGGAGGCCAAGGCGGGCGGATCACAAAGTCAAGAGATTGAGACCATGGTGAAACCCCGTCTCTACTAAAAAAATACAAAAAATTAGCTGGGTGTTGTGGCGTGCACCTGTGGTCCCAGCTACTTGGGAGGCTGAGGCAGGAGAATTACTTGAACCCAGGAGGCGGAGGTTGCAGTGAGCCGAGATTGCGACACTGCACTCCAGCCTGGAACCTGGCAACAGAGCAAGACTCTGTCTCAAATAAAACAAAAACAAAAACAAAACAGAAAAGACCCTCACAGTTGCTGCGGCCCAGACCCAGAGCCTGCTGGTTGCCTTGGATCTTACAATAGGCCAGCTACCAGCTGCAGGCAAAAGACATCCCTATTAGCCAATATCTCCAGGAGCAAATGGCTTCGGAGGAAGCAATTTATTTTCTTCTACTTACTTCCTCATTTGGGGCATCCTCCCTCTTGCTCATGGCACACTCCTCTTCCTCGACCAGCACATACTCGTGGTCAGGCCCTTTGTCCCCAGCATGCAGGAGACTGACATGCTGGCTGTTGTCCTCAAGGTGAGGTCCATGCTGGAGGATGAGGGCATCTTGTTTGCAGCAACCGACTTGGGGCAGAGGTGAAGAGTCCTCTCCCACACTTTTCTCAAAGCCATCTGTTGGTGGGTCACACCCAGAGCCCTTCTGCAGGCAGCCTAATGGCTCACTGGGATCGCCCATACCACCTGACTTTCCAGGGTCCCCGTTTACCACAGAAGGTGTCTCTCCCTGCACTGTGCCTTCCATGTTGGAAACCATTCCAGAGTTAAGCTCGTCATGCACATGAGCCTCTTCATTCCTTTGCACAGGAGGATGCTCAAGCGGTTTCGTGTAATCCTCGAGGATTCTGCACACTGTACTTTCATCCTGCCCCTGTCTCCGCATCAGCTCTGCCGCCCACTCAACACTACGCTGATACCTGCAAGACAGAAATACTGTTAGAAATAGCACTCGAATTCAAATACTGAAAAAAACAACCAGGCCGGGCGTGGTGGCTCAAGCCTGTAATCCCAGCACTTTGGGAGGCCGAGGCGGGTGGATCACGAGGTCAAGAGATCGAGACCATCCTGGTCAACA